TCCGTAATTAATTAATTTTGGGGTATATATAGTTTACTACTTATCACTCAGATCAGCTCTCACATACAAAACTGGGTTTGCTTTAAATGAAGGCCAAATAGATCCATCAGTTTCTGGTTAATTTGATCCGTATTTTAAGGCTACAAAGTCGCACTCTTGTTCCTAAATCCTCAATTCATTTGGCTTAAACCCTTAAATACCATGTTACTACAATACTATATTAATAAACACATTCACATGCACATGCATCAACTTAGGTCAATAATTTTCTTTTTTATTTTTTATATTTCAATTAGTGACCTACAAGGTCTCCTGAAATAAGTGATCAAGTGGGTGGAGCAAGATTCTCATACTCAGTCAAGCTTGCCACTTATATTCTTTTTAATGCGATGGTTTACGAGCTATATTACACAAAAGTGGATTTACCTAATGCACATCTTCATATAGTGTTTGTGAAAGTAATTGCAATTAGGGTTTTGATTTTAGAGTTTTATGGCTTTTTTATTTTATTTGGTCCAGTGGTTCACTTTTTACTGCTTAAGGTTTAACATTTACGGTCTAGATTTAAAATTTAGCATTTTCGTTGATTTTATAGTATTTACGAGGTTTGCATATTTAGTTGTTAAAGATTGCATATTTAAGTGTTAAAGTTTGCCCTGCGAAATTGATGATAATTATGAAACTGTCACCGCGTTTTTTTCTAATATGATAAGATCCGTCGAATTTTTACAAATGCAAAGCTGAGATTGGTTCTTATTTCCCTCATATGAAAGTGTTTTCATAGGATCCATAACGCGCGCACACACACACACATAAACTCGAAAGCAGGAATTGAGTGAGTAGAGTTTGATTTTCATATTCGAATGGTCATAAATTTAATTCTTACCAACTCGCTCTTGATCGATTAGTTATTATACAAACCTACTAGCTAGACTATTCATCAAGCTAGCACAAATCAGACCTACTAGACTATTCACCATACACAAATTATACCAACTAACTACCCTTTCCCCATAGTCATTTCCGTACCCTAAACATTGATATGATATTGAGAATCTATTTCGATATATATATATATATATATATATATATATATATATATATATATATATATATATATATATAGCTGAAATTTATATAAGGCAACTTTTTAAATATATCGACTAGTGTGGCATTTACTTGTAAATGGAATATTTGACATACACTCATAGATATTAGTTAGTTTCAATGTTAAGTTGAAAACATTATTGAAAATTTGAGTTTTTTTAAACATAGATGATCAAAAATCTGATTTAATCGATCAAGATTTTCAATCACTTTTATTTCTGGTCAATGTAATTGACCACTTTCTACTAGTGGTAACATGGGATTTTAAAATTCTCATAACATGAGATTTTTAAAATTCTCATAATGATAAGAAAGTTAGTTGGAAAGGACATATTAAACTCGAAATCGTAGACTTTTAATCATTTTAAGGTGGCAAGAAATAACAAGGAAGATTTTTAAAATTTTTAAAGTGATTAAAAAGTTGGTTGGGAAGGTGGTTTTTAACCTGAAATCCTGAACTTCTAATCAATTTACATCACGTTTGGTTCACGGAATGAATTTGGAGGGAATAGAAATGCTATTCCACAGGGAATGGAATAGGTAAGGAATAAAATAGAAATTGTATTCTGTTGTTTGGTTGGCTGAAGAAATAGACTTTAGTAATTGTATTCCAGTGTTTGGTTGGTTAAAGGAATAGAAATGGAATAGATTTTTAAATACATAAATACCCTTATACAATATAATAATAATAATAATAATAATAATAATAATAATAATAATAATAATAATAATAATAATAATGAATATGATTATCATATACTGAATGTTATATATATATATATATATATATATATATATATATATATATATATATATATATGTATGTATTTGTATTATTATTATTATACAAATACATATTTATATTTATTTTTATTTTCCTACTTATCCCACATCGGTTAGAGAAGGAATGGAGCGTTGAGGCTCCTCAAGGCTCCATAATTTCAATTGCAATGCTCATCCGCTAGGCAAGCTTGCAATGCCCATCCGCTTGACATGCAGATGGGCAGGCTACTTAATTTAGGAGCCAAGGCTCCATAATTAAGGAGTCTTATAAGTTAATTTTTTTATTTACATATATATATATATATATATATATATATATATATATATATATATATATATATATATATATATATATATATATATATATATATATATATATTCACACATTTTGCAGCGTGGGTGTTTTGAGAAAATACTTTTCTTTTCTTAAAATGCCAATTGCAAACGCTGCAAAATGTGTGTGTGTGTGTATGTATATGTATATATATATATATATATATATATATATATATATATATATATATATATATTTATTTATTTATTTATTGATACATTGATGAATAAAAATTATAATTAATTAAATATATACATTTATATAATACATTATATTTATTAAATAAATATAAATATTATATAATGTGCAAAGGGTATTTTTGGTATTTGTGATATAAATAAAAGCTATTCCCAAGGGCATGGGAATAGCTAATACCAAGGCCCCCCCTATGAATGGTTATTCCCCTTGCGAAGGTAATAACTCATTCCTAGGCATGTTATTCCCTTGACAAAATGATCCAACCAAACGATGGAATAGGTCTATTTCCAAGGAATGCTATTCTATTCCTGACCTATTCCATAAACCAAACATGCCATTAGAGTGGTCGAAAGCTGTGGAATAGCCTAACTAGTTGGTTAGTTAATTAGTTTATTATCAATTTTTATAGGAATTGAAAGTAAAATAAGGCAAAAACTAACCCCACAAAGGAAAAATGCACTCCAATTTTTATTTTTATTTTTTTTGTTACGAGAGAAATTTACAACCACTATCTAGGGTATACAACTACGTATTAGGTAAATCAAACTTGTTCTTGGTGCTAACCACACAGAAAGGGTATACAACACTGAAAAAACCCTATACGATGAACTAAATCCCAAAAAAATGTTAGCAAGAATCAAACTCAAATCTTCAAATATGATAATCAAATCTACTCCAATTTGGGAGGGGTGGAAGTTCTCCAAGTAAAAAAAAAAAAAAAAAAAAAAAAAAAAAAAACAACAATAATAATAATAATATAATAATAATAATAATTCGCAAAAAAATTCATTCTTTGAACAAAAATGACAATTTAACATCTATAGATGGATAGATATTGTTCATGATTCCTAGTCCATGGAACTCTCCTTAATTGTTACCCTAAGCCCACTTTCTTTTGGACTAGATTTTGCATAGCCCATTAACTTGGCCTTACCCACTCTTGTGGGCAAATTTTACAGTGGAGCTGTGTGGACCATGGTTCAAAACGGTATCATTTCTTTTAATGAAAAAATGACACTCGTTCCGCGTAATTAATTTTATTTGCATAACAGATTTAAATTTTATTTTATATACATTGTAGTTTCTTTTTGTTTCAACTAGAGTTTCATTCGACATAATACATAAAATAGTCTTATTATAGTGAAACATGTTATTGAATTTCATTTTATACACACTTTATTCTTATTACAACATCACTAAATTCTAATTCTAATTCAACTACAGTTTCATTAGACAATATGCACTTAAATATGTGAAATTTTTATCCAGTTTCATTATATATATATATATATATATATATATATATATATATATATATATATATATATATATATATATATATATATATATATATATATATATATATTGTACTTTCATTCCAACACAACTAAAGTATCATTTTGATATAACTACAGTTTCATTTGACAATATACATTCAATATATGAGACATGTTATTCAGTTTTTTTTTTTTTATACAATTATACATACTGTAGTTTCATTTTAGCAAAATTAAAGTATCATCTCAATTCAACTACAATTATATTTGATAATATACACTTAATATGTGAGGCATGTTATTCAGTTTCACTTTATATATATTGCAGTTTCATTTCAACACAAACTAAAGTATCATATCAATTCAATTACAGTTTTATTTGATAATATAAACATAATGTGAGACAAATTATTCAATTTCATTTTAAATATATACATTGTAATTTCGTTTTGTTATAGACACAATAAAAATACGAAATTTGTTACAATTTAACGGCTGTAATTTTTTTTATTGGCGGCATTTTCGAACCATGTTCCACGATATAACAACCGACTCTTGTGTAAAGTTAATAGGGCTTCTCCGATCAAAATACATATTACGCTCTTTTTTTTTTTTTTTTTACCGACTCTTGTGTAAAGTTAATAGGGCTTCTCCGATCAAAATACATATTACGCTCTTTTTTTTTTTTTTTTTTTTTTTTTTTTTTATAACACATATTACGCTCTTTCGTTCCGTATAACTTAATAATTGTATCATAATTTAGAACCGACAAAATTAAAATAAAAACTAATTAGCATTAACCTAACACAGCCCGTTGACACCCAAACTTGTCAAAATTTGTTGAAGTGACAATATATATATAGACACACACATATTACATGGCCTGCATTTTATACATTATAATTGATCAATGAATTGCTTGTCTGCATTGACTAAAGATTCTGCTGGCAAATGGAGGGCACATCTTTTATACGAAAATGTTAGCGTTGATTGGTAACATAGTTAATTTATCAGTCAATTTTAACTTATTTAATTACTATTAGTTGTTTAATTTAGTTAAATATTCAATATGATATTAACTAATCAAACTCACTAACTCAATCACCAATCGCTAACAGTTATTTACCAAACACTCCCGTTATTTTTTTACCAGAAAAATCTACTTTATATGTACTAGATAAACTTTACTTTTGTATAATAATTATAAATTATACAATAAAAAATATAAATCGCATTAGGAAGACTCTCTGAGATGAAATAGAAAGTACTAACAAGAATGGAAGGCAAGTCTTTGTACTAAGTAAAGTATAAGTATGTGCACGTTGTCTTCCCACGACTAATCTGCCGACTTTATGATCTGATCAGTACTGACCCTGCTGACTTAGTTACAAGTAATGATTAATTAATTAGTATAAAAATCTTATTAGTTGTTACAACTGCTTTCTTATATTAATTTATTTATTCTGAACCTTTCAATCTCACTTTTATGTGATTGTGTTTCCCTCCTTCACATGCATGAAATACCAAGTCGCATCCCAAAATTCCTAATCCCAGAAACTAAAGAATTTTGGGCAGATTAAAGTATCTTCCCCATCACAATCTGTATCATGAGTGGTCCACTGGTATCAATCAATGAAACCCATTGCTCAAAATCACCTCAAATCTAATATAATCTTGATTAGGTTTTGTTTTGTCGTAGTTTTGTCTTGTTTTTTTGGTGATGAGGGCATGCATCCGCAACCTTTAAATAATGTGTGCATTATGTAAATCTCTCTCCTAAATAATGTGTGCACTATGTAAATCTCACTCCTGTGTAAAGAGCTTGTAAATCACATAGAAGAAGTAAATCACATTGGGTGACCGAGAGGGTGTATGCAAGAATCAAACATATAACAACACATAGGCCAGCACATTTAGTTCACTTTGTCCGCACGGGCTTAACTCAGTGGTTCACTAGGCAGTATTTAGGATAGGAGACCAATGTTCGAATCTCGACGACTGCAGTTTGGGGACTATGCCCAAAGTGGGCAGAAGGCAGTATTTAGGATAGGAGACCAATGTTCGAATCTCGACGCCTGCAGTTTGGGGACTATGCCCAAAGTGGGCAGAAGGCAGTATTTAGGATAGGAGACCAATGTTCGAATCTCGACGCCTGCAGTTTGGGGACTATGCCCAAACTATGCCCAAAGTGGGCAGATCTCTTGTGCGCATTGACATTTTGCCCAAACTATGCCCAAAGTGGGCAGATCTCTTGTGCGCATTGACATTTGGCCTTGTCTGCTGAGCCATTAAGTCACCGTGATTTACATCCTCCCAAATGCTCTGTCGGGTCAGGGTGTTGGGGGTCTTAGCCCTGTCTGCTGAGCCATCGAGTCACTGTGATTTACATCCTTCCAAATGCTCTGTCGGGTCAAGGTGTTGGGGTCTTAGCCCTGCCTGCTGAGCCATTGAGTGACCGTGATTTACATCCTCCGAAATGCTCTGTAGGGTTTGGGTGTTGGGGGTCCTTGGAATTGGAGATTCAACCTCGAATCTATTGCCCTATGTAAGGAGTATTCTGGGGATCTTGATATTAGGGTATTTTTTAAATAATCAATGGTCGAATTTAATTCACAAATCAACTTAGTTATCTCATTTCAGAGGCGTTTGTATTTGGATGTTCCAATTAATTGGTCTGATGCGTTTTAGAATTGAGTAGTTAGTGTGTTTTGTAATTTTGTATGTATAGTCATGGTAGCAGTTTCAACAAATATTGCTGACCATTTCTCAGATAAACAATAAAGACATCAAAGAACGGTACTAAGTATTTGATGTAACAATGGTTTTTTCTTCTATTATTTATGAAATACAACTATGAGTTATTACAACATGAAACTGGAAATTGAGCAACCAGGGGGCTGTAATTATACTGCAAATTTTTTTCTATGTTTCATGATCATACAGATGTTGGCAAAATTAAGACTAAGAGATCGAGTAAACATGGTGGCACCATGTAAATTCATGCAAATTCTCTGAACAAAAGCTTGAGCATATTTGATGACAATCCGCGGGATCTAGCTTTTGGAGTTCGACCAATGCAAAAACATGGACTTGAAACAGACGATTCATAGTTACCATCATCATCATCATCGGGTGATGGCCTCGTGTTGGGAAATCTAGCATGAAGGTTTGAGTTCGGAGCAGAAGGTGAGCCTGGAGCCGAATGTGATGAACGAGACCAGGGAGACGATGATGATGATGAGGAAGACGATGGCGATGATGATGAAGCTGGCGGTGACTGGAGCTGCAGATGGCTTTTCTTGACGGTGAGTTTGGGGAGAAGGCTGTGTAAAAGGTTAACCTTTCTTTGCTTTTTCGCACCGTCTTTCCTCGCAGGACTTGACATGAACGAAGGTGGGGGCGTGAGGGGAGGAAGCCGAGATTCCCTAGACTTGATTCTCGGGGTCCCCGGGCAAGATTCCCACCTGAAAGGAACGCCAACTGGTGCACCTCCATAGTAGACTTCAAACGAGTTGTTCCTCGACAAATCTTTGGAACGACACCTTGGATGAACCCCATTCTTCATCTCGTTCGATCTGACTGGAAGATCTGACCCTTCACTGCCCGGAATTGCCATCGTTATCCTACACTCTTCGAGATAATGTCTAAAAGGAAAAAGAAACACTTTATCAGTTTGTTTCTAATGGAGAGACTAGAGTTTCAGAGATACTAGACTTAGGTAACTTGAACTCTCAAGATGGAAACTGGAAGTCCAGAGATTATATATAGAGTTAGGTTCCCAATGCAAAACATTTATTTAGGTCCTCTGGGATTTTAACATTAAAAACAAATATAATTTTGAAAAAAAAAAAAAAAAAAACATTATTTGTATTCACATTCAACAAGCTTATGAAGTCAACTCCAGCAAAAACCATGTTAACCTGACAACTACCAATAAAAGAACATGAAACTATGGCTTATAAACAGTATATGGTACTTAAACATCAGATCCACAACACACTACGTACCATGTGACCAGAAATAAGTACGAAGGATTTTCTTTCTCTGCATGAATCTGGGATGTGCATATTTAATACAAAAACCATAAAGACACTAAATTTATCTGATAAAAAAAGTCTCAAATGAACCAATTACTCGGTTTATCAGAGCAGCTTTTTGGTGTTAGAATTCTAGGCTGTACTTTCTGCATTTCTCTGGGTTTAAGGATAATGTTAATTCTCCAAAGCATTAATAACGCAAATTATCAGCATTTAATACTAAAAATGGAACTACTACTTAAGGACATGGAGCCCGAGTGGAGGGCAAATCATGTGCTGCTTAACTGGGTCACATGGCAATCCAAATGGCTATTAAATGTAGCCTGACAATTGAATTTTAGCGTTAATCAAGAGATATAGTCCAGTTCATTTAATAATTAGAGTCAAACTGAGTTTCATTTAGTGAAAAAAACAGCTTTATCATTCATTTGGATCTCTGGGAGCGAACATGGTATAGGGGAAAAAAGAACTAAAAGCATCTCCAAGAACCTAGTAAGTCAACGTCTCAATGCTCTATATTGGAATCATTCTAATTTCTAACTGCCATTTTCTGTTCTAACTAACATAAAACCTCAACCCATAAAGAAATGGAATTCAAATGACAATTGTCATGTGCAGTTTAGTATAGTTACCGTGACAGAATGACTTTAATCTTCCGAGCTGTTGAGGTTGGACCGATCAAAAGGAAATGAAAAGGAACGTAGCCATATGGGAATAAGTCCCGATTAATCACCAATAGTCCTTGCAAGAGCAATGCCCATCCCTGAAGTGATGAAACCTATTCCTATCCCTCACGACTATCTCTCTCTTGTATACTTTCGAAATAAACTTCATGGCTGAATGACAATCGTTACACGTTCTTAGATTCTTAACAATCCGAATTATTTTTCCAGGTGGCGTGTTCATCAGGCCAAAAGCAACAGCAATTCTCTCGCTGTGGTATCTAACGATACTCTCCTTCTCTTCATCCTCAATGTCATGCAGCACAGAAGATGTATCGGGTTCATAGCCATTAGCCTGCAGATCCTTGGCAATCTTATCCAAGAACGCGTTAATTTGAGGGAACTGAGGATGTGAAGTGTCACCAGCAACGAATTCGTGTAGTATATTCTCCACTTCAATTGAACTGCATCCGGGCATTTTGGAAACTCCCCTCTCGTTCATTAACTTCCGGCACATATCAACATCACTCCATCGGTTTAGAGAGGCATAAAGATTGGACAAGAACACATAGTTTGCTCCATCATGTGGATCCAAGTTCAGAAGATGCTGAGTAACCTGTTCGCCTAGTTTGGTATCCTTGTGAACGTGACATGCCCGGAGCAAGCTTCCCCAAACAACGACATTTGGCTTCAGAGGCATGGTCCTTATGAGTTCCAGTGCTTCTTGAAGAAGCCCCGATCGACCCAAAAGGTCAACCAACGATCCGTAATGTTCAATTCCAGGTTCAACGCCATAAAAACTCTTCATTTCAGAGAAATAACTTCTGCCTTGGGAAACCAAACCTGAATGGCTACAAGCACATAAAAGTCCCAGAAAGGTAACCCCATCAGGTTTTATACCTTCCATTTGCATCGAGTTAAAGGCCTCGATAGCTTCATTACCATAGCCATACATTCCTAGACCCACAATGATGGAATTCCAACAAAATATATTCTTCGTATGGAGGCCATGAAAAACATCAAGAGCTGCTTCTATCCTTCCACATTTGCAATACATGTCTATGAGGGCATTGCCTAAAACAACATCAACCTTAAACCTCTTCTTTTTAATGTAGGCATGAACCCATTCGCCCATATCTAAAGCTCCAATATGAGCACACGCAGACAGCAAGCTGATCATTGTCACTGCAGTTGGTTGCACATTCTCAGCTAGCATTTCCCGGAACACATTTATCGCTCTCACAAACTCCCTAAACTGAACATACCCAGCAATCATTGTATTCCAGCTCACAGCAGTTCTAGCGGAACCCAACTTTGTAAACAATTCCTCGGCATAAACCAACTGCCCTGACTTACAATATCCATCTATCATAGCATTCCACGAAACCACATCTTTTGATGGATTCCGATCAAAGATAGAGCGAGCAGATTCCACATTACCAGCTTTGCAGTAACAAGTGATCAACAAATTCCACGACGAAGCATTCCTCTCAGGCATACTATCAAACAGCTGCTTTGCCTCATCAACAAACCCATGCCTACTCAAAGCCGAAACCATAACATTATTCGCAATGACATCTCTCTCAGGCATTTCACCAAACACCCTCCGAGCAGACCTCAAATCCCCAATCTTGGCGTAAAAATCGAGCAACCCAGTCTGCAGAATCACATCAAATTGAAAACCCATCTTCACTATCTGACAGTGAAACGATTCCCCTAACCGGGCCGCCCCAAAAGCAGCACATGAACGTAAAATCAAAGAAGCGGTACTTTTATTAGGGAAGAAACCATAAAACCTCAACCCATGATAGAAATCCAAGAAGCCTTTGGAGTCCTGGGATTCAAGTGAAACCCTAATCATCGAATTCCATAACAATGGGTCGGGTCTCGGAATACTATGCAAAACGAGCTTCGCGTAGTCTGGTTTTCGAGAGTGATAACAGGAAAAGAGGAAACTAGTGAGAAGCTCAGTGGAATCGAGATAACCATTGGTGAGGATTTGTGATTGGATTTGCTTTAACTGTGTGAGAGTGAGAGGATTGTTGGTAGACAATAAGGGAATCAGATGATTAGAGAATAAAGATTGATTCTTTGACAACGGATTCATCAAAACCAATAGATATTAGATTAGATGTAGGAGATGATATAAGAACTACCTCGTATAACACAAGTACATATCGTCCCGCCAAGTACCCTTCAAATGATTAGGAGTTTATACTGTCAAGCCTGTCTGGTCGGTCCAATAAAGACTCAATCAATCTAAACAATTACTCCTCTCTTTCTCTTTTATTCTTTTTTTTTTTTTTTTCCATAAGTTAAATCGCATTAAGAATACAATGTGGGATGCAATAAATTTAACTATAAAAAAGTTGGCAAGTAACTAATTTATAATTTTTGTGTGTAAGAATTATACTTCACGTGCTTAATTACTGATTTTTTTTATAATATTATATAAATAATTTATTATTATTATTTGAAAGTGTGCATAAATGGATTTTATTAAATAAGTATTGATAAAAATTAAACTTGTGACTTTTAGCTGTTTTAGATATAGAATTAATTGTATAATTAATTTTTTTAGTACAATTGTACAATTAATTTTTTGAAGGCAACCAATTAAGGCATATATTAGAGATAAGTTGTAATAGCGTCAGGAGGGTTTGACTCCCAGTACATAGGAGAAAGCTGAGTAAAAGCGATAGAAGCTAAAGTATGAGCTATTAGCTTAGACGATCTAAGAATAAAACTGACCACACAACGGTCGAACAATGAAATAGTAAATCTGCAAATGTCGATGGCATAGCCGACGTAGGAACGAACTGACTCCGTAGGCGAAGACAAGTTGTGTTGTAGACTCAAGCAATCTGTGAGCAACTCGAGTGACTGTTCCGCACAATCTCTTAACCAGGATAGAACCTCTTTACATGTGTAGGCCTCGGGCATTAATGGTGAAAAGCAAGCTGGTAACAAAGCATTGAAGCCTACAGCATATGCCCCATTATCGTCCAGTAAAACCGCTCCCACCGTAGCTTTGTTGGACGACGAGTGAAAGCCAAGCGGCAAGACCGCAGCCCGACGTTGCTTCCCGTGGCAGCAGGAAGCGGCACAGCATCGTGGGCCTCGGCAGCGGGGTGTAAGGGAGCAGCGACGAGGCTCGTGGCAGAACGTGGCGCGACAGTGACAGCAACTCCAGTGGCCGGCAATCTCGCGTCGACATAATGGGCATGATGCCAGGCATGTATAGCGGCCGTAGCGGAAGCCACGACCTTCTTCGGGGTTGGGAGGCATGCATCCCAAACTGCATCAATTCTTTGCCTTCCAAATAAAATATAGAATAGCAGTAGTGAAGAATATTTCGTTAGAGTCTAGAATACTCAAAACTTTAATTAATTGTACAATTAATTTAGTTGGGAATATATTTCATGTTTGTTTATGTCATCCCATATTGTTTTTTTTTTTATTTTTTTTTTTATAATTTGATTCCATATTTTAATTAAATTAATTTTATTTTCTAGCGGAGCATGTGAGAAGTTGTAAATTATAATAACTCAATAGATATAATTAAATGTCAATGCGTAAAATAAATCTATTCACTTTCTTGAATATAATTTTTAGATTGTTGTCAAGTTTTAAATTTTGATCTTTTATTTTAAGGAATAAGGTTCAAATTGGCCACTGAACGTAACCTGAAAATGCAATTAGGCCACTAAACAAAAAAAAAAGTGCAATAGACCATTGAACACTCAAAAAATGTGCAATTAGGCCACTGAACTCTCCAAATGTATACAATTTTACCGGATAGTAGGTTACCATCAATTTTAGCAGGTTACCTGCTTACGTGGCAGTTTAGTTGGCATTTTTAATAATTTTTAAATAAATTTTAATAATTAATTTTAATAATAAATTTTATAAAAAAAATTGGAAAAAATTAAATAAAAAATAAAATAAAGTCGTTTTTATTTTTTTAAAAAAAATTTAATAAAAATTTATTATTAAAATTTATTAAAAATTAATTAAATTTTATTAAAATGCCAACTCAGCTGCCACGTAAGCAGATAACCTGCTAAAATTGAGGGTAACCTGCTATCAGGTGAAATTGTACATTTTTGGAGTGTTCAGTGGCCTAATTGCACTTTTTTTTCGTTCAGTGGCCTAATTGCACTTTCAGGTTACGTTCAGTGGTCAATTTGAACCTTATTCCTTATTTTAAGTACTGTATGAATCTGTCAACTTTAAACATAACTTCCACACGATCACCATCAAGATTTAAATATTGATCTCTTTTCTCAAATATTGTCCACTAAACAATTGAGCTAAACCCGTAGGTTGGTTATCTTGATTCTTGAATATACTAAAATGGGAGGATACAGGATTGACGGTTAAGAAAGAAGGATACTCTAGATTCCTCCGCTGATTATATAACTCGTGAGTATGTAGACGTGTACGGCTGGACGCGCGCGCGTAGAAACATCTCCCATCTCCTGAGGTTTTATAACACGACAACCTACGGCGAATATTCATTGCCTCATTTGCCTGTCTTCCACTCTACGCTGTCTGCTTCTCTTAGGAAGATCAATCGCCGTCGAAGCCGGAGGAGCTCTACAACATCCAGGTACCTCTATTTCACTAGATTTTCTTTTCCATTTTATCTGTGTTTCTCAAAATTCAATTCAAGCTTACATCTTTACCTGCGATTCAGATGTCTGTCATATTTCTTCATATGTTGTTTCTGGTATGAGTTTACCTATGATCTATATCCTTATACCTGGGAGATTCAGTCCCCCGTACAAAATCGGTGATGGGTAATTGTCATCGTAGAGTGTCAGCATTTATTTAGTATGATGAGTGATCTTGGAAGGTTTCAATCATGGCAATTATAAGTGAAAACTGAGAAGTAAATACTGTTAGGGTTGGATTGTTTAGAAGTGTTTTAACTTCACAATTGATATTAGTTGGGACTTTGAATCAACAAGTTCAAAATAATCTTTTTCTTCTTCCATGAAATTGTTTATTGTCTATAACTGATCAGCTCAAAGAAGGTTAATAGGCCGCTCCCATCAGGAGTTGGACCAAGTCAATACCCTAACCAACTTGGCTGGGTTGTCCTATGAAGGCCAATAGGCCACTCCCGTTTGTCTAGAATTTGTAATTTTGTGGTTACCAAGTCAATGGTCTGATTGTCCCTTAAAGTTCATTTTTGTGTAATATCTAAGCTGTTCTTCCTGCTTTGATCTCCAGTTTTCAGGCTAAACTCTATAGTTGCTGGTGAAGTTGGTTATACTACAAAGTGCCATTTCTTGCTCACATTTCAAGTGGTGTGTTTAACGTATATATATATTTTTGATCATTTTTGGAAACAAGAGATCAAAGGAATGCTGAAAGATGTGCTTGAGCATCTGGGGATCTTACACTGATATCCAAAAGGTTTTAGCCTTAAAAGAGCTGTGTTTCTTCTTTGACGGGCACGAGCTTCTTGACCATAATAGCTCCTTGGATGCCCCTTCGAAGAAGCAAAATGGGCTGGGACGATCCCAGTTGCCATTCGTGTTGATATATGATTTGTGTGATGATGGTTGAGCTACGCTGTTTTCAAGCCTGCTTTGTATAGGTCCTAGCGTGGATAATAGTATATTTTATGGCTTGTAGAGGGAGTGTTCTGATGGAAAGATACGAGTTAGGGAGATTCCTAGGCCAAGGAACATTTGCTAAGGTTTATTATGCGAGGAATCTTGTAACTGGGGAGAGCGTTGCTATCAAAGTCATAGACAAAGACAAGGTTTTGAGAGTTGGACTGATGGATCAGATCAAGCGGGAGATATCTGTAATGAGACTCGTGAGACATCCGAATATTTTGCATCTTTACGAAGTCATGGCCACGAAAACCAAGATTTATTTCGTGCTCGAATTGGCTAAAGGGGGCGAGCTTTTTAACAAGGTGGCTAAGGGAAGGCTGAAGGCGGATGTCGCGTGGAAGTATTTTCATCAGTTGATAAACGCTGTCGATTTCTGCCACAGTCGAGGCGTCTATCACCGGGACCTGAAACCCGAAAATTTACTCTTAGACGAGGACGAGAATTTGAAGATTTCTGATTTCGGTTTAAGTGCCCTGGCTGAGTCGAGGCACCAAGACGGGCTACTTCACACTATCTGCGGGACTCCGGCCTACGTTGCCCCTGAGGTAATTAACCGGAAAGGCTACGATGGGGCAAAAGCCGATATCTGGTCCTGTGGGGTGATCCTATACGTTATGTTGGCTGGTTATCTCCCGTTTCATGACTCGAATTTGATGGAAATGTATCGGAAGATTGGGAAAGCGCAGTTCAAATGCCCCAACTGGTTTCCACCCGAGGTTCGCAAGCTGCTTTCGAGGATGTTGGATCCCAATCCCGCTACTAGAATTTCGATGGCGAAAATTAGGGAGCATCCATGGTTCAAGAAAGGGCCATCTTCTTCCAAATCGACAAAACCCAATGGGGAAAGCGATGTAGAGACTACTCATACTCATAATAGTCCATCCGAGAATATTAACACTGCTATAGAAGACAACAAGCAAGAGGGAGCAAGGTTATCGAACTTGAATGCGTTTGATATTATCTCCTTTTCTGCTGGTTTTGATTTATCGAGATTATTCGAGGAACCTTGTCTGAAGAAAGAAACTCGGTTCACTTCTTGGAAACCCGCAGCAGTGATCATCTCGAAGCTAGAAGATTTGGCTAAGCGTCTGAAGCTGAAGCTGAGCAAGAGGGACGCGGGATTGTTGAGGTTTGAAGGGATGAAGGAAGGCAAGAAGGGCGTTGTAGCCATCGATGCAGAAATCTTTGAGGTCACCCCTGATCTTCATCTCGTCGAGCTGAAGAAATCGAACGGGGACACATTAGAATATCAAAGGATACTAAACGATGGGTTAAGACCCGGGCTTCAAGATATCGTGTGGGTCTGGCAAAGCGATCCCCAACAGCAATTGTTCGAGCAACCCCACGAGCAGCAACAACCCGAACAACAGGCAGTGCCTGTGATGCAGCAGGAGCAACTACCTTGATTTCTCTCACTCAGTTCACAAAATTTGTTCTTTCCCAAGCTATGTGCCTATATCTTTTAATCTTTTTCCCCCATTTTTTTCACTCTATTGGCCTTCTGGCTTCCCAGTTTCCTTGCTTTAGAACAGTGTTTTGTGTGTGTGTGTATATGTGTGTAATGTGAGTACTAACATAGGTTGGCAATTGGCTATGCTATAAAGTGTAAAGCTTGCTAAGAATAGAGAGTTGTCCCATCTTCTATTGTTATTTCCTTCTGAATGTGAGATTGTATTTTTGGTTATTTGGACGAGCTTTGTTTTTGTTTTTTTTTTTTTTTTTGTTATGAGAACTTGTTCAGTTACCTTTGTGATGTACAAGCATTTGAAAATTTTACAGATCACAACTCCAGTCCACTTGTCAAAATTATGAAACATGTTATATATACAAATCAACGGAGAAATGGACAGGATATATGTAAGTTCGATCATTCAAGAACGTATGTAGGAGATCAGTGAACTAAGTAGCTCATAGACTTGTGAAAACCTCGGGCTCCCAGGCTTCCGTTTCGTATTGGTCTGGCAATCCATCTGAAGTATTCTTGATTTATTTACCATGAATTAACAATAAGCTAATTTTTTTTTTAAAGATGAAATTTTTTGAAATTAAAACTTCAGTCCACTTGTCAAATTTACGGAACAGGTTATGTAAAAAATATGAATGCTGGAGATAATGTGTGGCTGATGATATTGCACAATCAATACTCTCACGGATGTGAAGTTGATGTGATTATTGAGCTGCTAAAACTAACATAGACGTGAAGCTTTTTTTCCTGCGGATTGACACTTGTTCCGCAAATTATTTGTATACAGACTATTTTCTACTTTTCTGCTTCAGGGTAGGGTACACGCTATTTCCAGGCCACATGGACGATTATTTTTCATCGATTTTGACAACTATCTACTCAAATTATCTCTAATTTAACTATTCACTTATTCTTTTAAAAAACCCAAAAACAAACAAACAAAATGCTTCTAAAAGTAAACAGGAGAGTAGGAGACCATTTTAATTTTTTTTTTTTAAATCATTTTTTTCAACAAAAAATTCATATTTTAAAATTAAATTAAAGATGGAGGATGCACTCCTTCATAGTCCTTTATTGAACTTGTTAAGAAAGTGGAAGATTTGTATGAAGTGTCATTGGGAGATCAAGATACTTAAATATTTGTAAAAAACAAAATAGAATGATAGACTTCCTTACTAAAACTTGTTCTTAAGTCTCAACATGTTCGGCAGTGCCAAACATGTATAGTGTCCCACACAAATAAACAATCAGTTATCCAGCTAAATTATGCACAGAATTGTAACAGCCATTTTAAACCAACAAGAAAATCCAGATTCTGCATACCCTTGTTTTCAAACTGAATGTAAACACTCAATTAATGAACTAAAGCCTGCTGTTTCACCAGTAGCAAGCATGCATACAGACATAAATATGGTAAAAAGTTCATTCAACACTTGCCAGGTAAAGCCAGCAATGATCCATGTACACAATGAATGCATGAAACTCATGAGTATCTATTGAATGCATTCCAGGTTCACTACCACCGGCCACCGCATCAAATTACAAGCTTCCTACCACATTCAGAACCAGAATAATGGAACCCCTTGATTGACTAGTAAAAGAAATGAATGAATCCCAGTTTCAATGCCACAGCATTAAAATTACAAGCTTCCAAACACACTCAAAGCCAGAAATAGCATACTGTAATAGTTTAAACCCTTAACTAATAAAAGAACTCTTTTTCTTTTTTCAGGCATAGATGATAGATCACAAGATGGTCCTTTTCAACAATCAGCAAGCTCCCTTTAAGAAGCTCTCATACATTAGGTAAACAGACTTGGATGAATATATCAACCATTATAATTGTCTAGTCATTTTATCATATTCACATCATTTCTCAAAAGCTATTGGCTTAACAGCAAAATGCCTAAATTTTGATAATTTTGTGCAATATCTGTAGGAGAAAGATTTGTAACCAGTAAGTAATGACAATGTTTCCATGAACAAGATACAATCAGATCAAGCTCCATTGACCTTCATGTCTAACACTGGCAGTGAGACAGATATTGGAATCGTAAACCACAATGGAAATTGCCCACACTATACAGTAATTAACAACCCATCATCAATACTCTTTTCATGTAAGATGCTTAGACAAACCTGATATACCATAATGCCTAAACATACTGAAAATGAACCTACTCGCCTTAAGGAAGCAACATGGAAAGGTCATTTATGTTGTTCAAAGCCACTTCAAACTAATAAGAGTATTAACATGTTTAGCTTAGAGAAAACAGACACATAATACACACTGAGAAACTACTATCTGATTCTAGTCCCATACTCCTTACAATACTTTTACTTGTCTGAAGATGTAATCTCATTCAGAGCCATAAATAATTACTTATAAGAATATGTAATCTGCATAGATCATATAAGCTGTAAACAAAAATTTCATTTTAAGCACAAGTGGTACTAGTTTTTATCCTAAATTTCATAGCAATAGTTAGCATAGCAGCAAAAATTACTTTCCTACAAAGATGCTGATACCAAATAATTGTAGTAAAACATAAGTAATTAAAATGATAAACTATACAGGAACCGTTTTGTGTTTCAGGGTTACAACATTTCACTTGAAAATTGGCAATCATCACGAGTTTTGTGCAAGCAAATTTAACTCTACAAATTATAATCGCACGTATAGAATCGTTGATACCAAGCGGAGTTCATGAAAGAGAGAAGTTACAACAATTATCCAAATTGCAGAGCTAACTGCACCTTTGATCAATAAAAAGGCTTTCAACAATCCCTTTTACCAAGGAGATCACTCGGCGCGCTTCATATTCGAAGATGAAGCCAAATGCTTCCAGAGATATTTTCCGCTCGCCATGTCCACACAGGTCCAAAATCCATTCCCGATCATACCGCAAACCTAAAATTCCCATCAAACCGCAAACTGTTCAGGAAAATGTCAATGAAAACTATTCAAAACACATTTGGCGTCCGAAGAATTAAAAGGAAACCTTGGAGCAGAGAGGAACGGAATTCGAGGAGGATGTGTCAGAAGGAGCTTTGACCGGAGAGTCATTGTCAACGACGTCGTTTTCAGCGGCATCCGGCTGAGATTTGATGTTGCGAAGCACGAAGAATCCGGCGAGAGTTGCAGAGAGGAAGATGAGAATGATTCTCAGCGGACACATTCCTATTTCTCTTTCGTTCCGGTTGTCTTCTCTCTCTCTCTCTCTTGTGTATCTCTCTCTAAGCTGGAGGTTTTAGAGAGAGAATTTTCCTGCTTTTGAGAGGGAAACGATAATGAAGATTGTTCATTATTGATGAAGAAAAGTCGCAAAAAAAAAAAAAAAAAAAAAGTCGCATAATTAGAAAAACTGTAATAGCCGCCGAGCACCGAGTATCCGTCTGTTGAACACGTAAAGAATAAATAAATAAATTCTATTTTTTCAACTAAAAAAAAAAAAAAAAAAAAACAATCCTTAACATATCTGTTAATTCAGTTAACCACTACTTTCGAACCAAATAAATCATTAATCAAAATTTTTACAAATTATCCTTAACCATTAGCTGAACTAAAATATTTCAATTAAAATTTGTTAATTTAATCTATTAAATTAAGTTATTTATAATTGACCTGCTCGAATTTTATTAATTGAAGTATGTATATTTTTTTTTGAAGGTAATTGAAGTATGTATATGAAAATGCAGAAATATTTTATTTGTATTGCTGAGGCCACGTTCTTGCACGGAATAGTTTTTTAACTTAAGTTTATTATTTATATATTGGTTAGTATCAAGGCTCAAGAGTGAAGACAAATAAGTTTAAGGCCAGGAATAAGGTTGAGTTAGGTAAGGTCTGAAATCTGAGTGGGATACCATTATCCATGAAAAACACTATAGTACATGACTCTCAATTTGTACTTTTTCTCACAAATTATTGATGTATATTTTTTCTAGAACCCACAAAATGAAATTATTCCATTATTAATTGTCACATCACATAATAAAAGTGAGATAGTAAAATTTGAGAGTACATGAAGTAAAACTCTTATCTCATTCATTAGACATGGAAATGAGATTGAGATACAACTCAATTGGTCAATCAATAACTTAATGGCGTAATTGAGTAGAAATAACTTATACATCCTTAACCAAAAGTCAAGAATTTGATTATTGACTGTTTCGGTGAAAACCTTGGACTACAAGTGGTCCTACTTTGGGTATCATGTTCAACTTTTTTATTTTGAAATGGTAAGATAATGGGGTTGGTTAACCAAACAGGTTGACGATGGAAGTGGAATAAGTTCAGAGTGGTTGTTGACGGATGCCATCACCTTTGATTAAACACCTCAACTCACAGCAATTAGTAGACTGGACACCGGAGAGGATAAGATTATAGAACAAATTAAAGCAGGGCTTAAAATGTCAATAAAACCTGCAGCAGCCTCTTACAATTCATAAACAATGACCCACTAGGCCACCAATCCACCATGCATAAAAGATTTGTAATTTTCCTATGTCAAACTTTTTTTTTTTTTTAATTTATTTATTTACAAGAAAATTCGCGGTGCTATCTGAAAATGCGTTATGTACGGAACTTATTTTTTGACTTTAGCTATCAAAGGACTAACTAACTTGAAATATTTGATATCTCAACTAATATGAAAGTAATTTAGATTTAGTACAAGACACACCTGCATAGTTTGATTGTTATTCAGGAAAAAAAAATTACTCATAACTCTTTAATATGTAAGTTTTAAAGCAAAAACTTGTATGAAACCGCTTCATAAATCATTGTTCGTGAGACTGGTTGGGTCAGGATGAAAATATAATACTTAAACTGAAAGATGTAATACTAATCAGGAATAAAATGTTTATTACTTATATGGGAAAATATAATATTTTTGTAGAAAAATGTAATGCTTTTATATTTTTTCTTAAAAATATTTGTATACTATTATTACATTCAGTACACAAATAATATACATTTAATAATATATTAAAAATTATATTTATTCATGATCCATATTAGAATGTGAATAACAATCTACAATATAATTTGTCACTTCTAATCTACCAAAAACTTCAACATCACAGGCAAAATCTCACCTAGCCATATAGTATCAATCGTTTTACCCTACACCACGACGCACATAGCACTGTGCGCAGCGCGCCTCTCAAAACGACGCCGTTTTGGGGTCGTTTTGGGAGGCGCGGTAGGAAGTTGCTGGGATTATGTGTATTTGTTCACACAGTTATGTGTATTTGTTCATACAATTATGTGTATTGGTTCATACAGTTATGTGCATTTTTTATACAATTATGTACATTCTTTTTATACAGTTATGTACATCCGAATCAGAAAATTTGTGTGTATTATGTTAATAGTTGATGTGTATTAATGTTAAATGTTTATGTTTATTATGTATTATGTTAGATTATGTGTATTATCTTTTAAAAAGAGTATGTATATTTTGTTATATAATTATGTACATTCATGTATACAATTATGTGTATTCTAGTATAACATTATGTACATTCTTGAACAGCGGGTTTTTTTTTTAAGAAAAAACTACTGTCATTCACTGGGGCGGGAAATTTCAAAAAAAAAAAAAAAATTAAAACAACGTCGTTTTGCATCTGGGCGCATATTACAACGCGCGCCGTAGTGTAGGATATAAATTGCCATATAGTATAGTGAACCACAAAAGCCCAAATAAACCATTAATCCATATAACATAATTGGGTATCCAATCAGGCTAGTCCCAGCCTAGCCTTCTCTATAAATCGGCCTTTTGAAAATTATTATGTTGTCCATAGTCCATTCATAAATGTTACACTTTTGTTTACAACCATCAAGGTTAGCCCATGTCAGGGCTTTGATCCAATCCAATCTAAAGAAAACACGGGCAAATTATGCTGTGCATAGTGCACACCGATGCAAAAACGGTATCGTTTTATTTTAAAAAGAAAAAATTATTTTTGATTGCCATTAGTTACGTAAATATATGTTCATAATTTTATAATTTCACATTCTGAACGTATAGTTATGAAGTTATGGATGTGTAGTTATGCAATTCTGAATGTATAGTTATAAAGTTATGGATGTGTAGTTATGCAATTCTGAATGTTTAGTTATGAAGTTATGGATGTATAGTTCAAATTATGCACAATATAACGCCGTTAACGGTAATCGAAACTGATTTTTTTTTTTTTTAAGTTGGACGTCAAAACGAGGTCGTTTTTGCAACCGTGTGCACCATGCATGGTGCACACGGTTGCACAGCATAATGCTCCGAAAACACGCAATCACTATTCGAAAATATACATTGGATAAAAAAATTTCATGTGTAATAACAAATAAATTATATAGGAGAGGTAAAATCGCACCTTGTAGATACATAATATATTAACTGAAAATATATAATATGTCCATAATATGTTAACGAAAGATACATAATATGTTAACTGAAAGTACATAATTTGTGTTAGGGTTGTGGACCCTTGGTTCACGATATAATTTATGTATTAATGCTTGTTTGATTTAACTTTATAGTTTTAAAATGTTGGACCCTAAATTTTATTTTAAAGTGTGATTAGCTGCTTGACTTGTATTTCTCCCCAGAATACCCATACTTCATGTCTTCACTGTTATTGTACATGTTCATACTGCATCCACGATTGTTGACAAAATGAAAGCAACTTTTTTAATTGGAGTACATATAAAGAAAATATGATGTCTTAACTCTTAAGTAATATTGGTGAGACGTATGGAATTCATTTTAAGTTTAAATTGCTTTAAAAAAAAAAAAAAAAAAAAAAAAAAAAACTTAAGTTTAAATTGGAGATGCAAAACTAAAAGTGGGTACAAAAAACTTACGCCAAGCTTAGTTCAATGGTTCAAAAGACAATATTGAAAGAAGAAGAAGACTAAGTACAAAAATTTCAAACCCAAACTTATATTAGTTCCCACGGTCATCTACTTTCACATAAGGTGTCCAGCTACAAGGTGGGGAACCAAAATAGTTGTTCACCTAATCATGGTTGAAAAAGTCCCAAATTCCAGCACATTAACAATTTGTTTATTCTAATTTTAACATAAGCATCCACATTAGTTATTTCTCCTTTTTGGTTTTTAAGGATTTTTTGTATGTGTGATTAGGAAAAAGAATATGAGAGGGGAGAGAAAAAAGGGGAAAAAAAAAATAGTAAAATTGATTTTGAAAAAAAAAAAAAAACATAGTGTCCTAATCACGAGACGCTTGTCACAATGTTCCATTTCTTTAATGGGTCTCACTTATTTCTCCTATTTGGCATAACATAGTGTCCTAATCACGAAACGCTTGTCACAATGTTCCATTTCGTTAATGGGTCTCACTTATTTCTCCTATTTGGCATAACATAGTGTCCTAATCACGAAACGCTTGTCACAATGTTCCATTTCTTTAATGGGTCTCACTTATTTCTCCTATTTGGCATTAGCAAGCCAGCATAACGCTTGTCACAATGTGCTTGTCACAATGTTCCATTTCTTTGATGGGTCTCACTTATTTCTCCTGTTGCCAGCATACAGCCTCCAGAAAGTAGCAATTGAGGCTTGAAAACTCTAAGTTTCGTATAGAGTGCTTGTGCTCTTGTGTATAAAATTTGCTTCTTACTACCTCTTTTATATAGGGATGGAGAAGGTACTTTTTAGATATTAGAAGTAGTGGATGCGGGTTTACTCCTTAAAAATAAAATAAAAAAGAACACACAAATAAAGTAGCAAAATCTTGACTTTTTCTTTTTCTTTTTCTTTCTCAAACTTTAGCAATATCATACTCTCGCCGGCCAACCGTTGGCCGAGAAACAAAGCGTAAAATATGAACAAAAGTTACAAAGTCTAGAGCCGCCGGGCGAATCGATTCCATTCCCGCCGGCGGCTTCAAGTCATCTTATTTTAAAAGTATAGATTAACTAATGCACTGTCACACGCTATCACGCAAACATGCGACACGTTACTATGATCAAATAATAATTAATAGAAATATTTTTTATACATATAATATAATAATCATAATAATGTAATGATAATTTAATGTCCGTAAGTACGAACGTTGTTCTAGATCCCGCCGGCGGCGGTGAAGTAGTCTAGCAGCTACCGGAAACCTGATTCTCCGATCGGCTTAAAATCGCCGGCTTAATCTTTTCCCTCCATGACTCTCTGAACATTTCGGGGTCGCCGGCCGTCCTTTTGCCTTCCACCACGACCATACGATCGTTCAAACGATAAACCTCCAAGCTGGCGATGAATTTCCCATTCTGCCCTTCCAGATCGATTCCCAATTCCTTCCTTTTCCTCAGTCTGATCTTCTCCGCCGCAGCGAATCTCTCGACTCGCTCCATCACTTTCTCCGGCGCCGACTCCACCACTATTCTCTCGGAGTCGGTGACGGAGCTTGACGCGCCGTCGAACAATCCGGATAGGTCCAGCCCGGAGGAGAAGGATATTAGGTTGAAGGCGTTTAAACAGGACGCGCTGCTAGGGCTCGGACCTTCTTCCTTGTTGACTTGCAGGAATTCGTCGTAGAATTTCAGCTTTCCTTTGGATCCTTTCCGGAACCACGGATCTTCGATGATCTCGTCGATGGTGATCCTCGTCTCCGGATTGGTGTCGAGAATTCGAGATAAAAGGCGTTTGAGATCCGGCGACATCCATTTAGGGTACCGGAACTCGCCCTTGTAAATCTTCTTATACATCACCATCAAATTCGGATCGTTGAACGGCAGGAATCCGGCGGTGAGAACGTAGAGGATGACTCCACACGACCAGACGTCGACTTTGGCTCCGTCGTAGCCTTTCTTCGACAGAATCTCCGGCGCGACGTAGGCCGGCGTTCCGCAAAGCGTGTGGAGTAAACCGTCCTGGCGGACCTGATCGTTTAAGGCGCTGAGGCCGAAATCCGAGACTTTCAACTCGCCGTTCTCGTCGATGAGGAGATTCTCGGGCTTGAGATCCCGGTGGAAGATCCCGCGCGAGTGGCAGTAACCGACGGCGGAGATCAGCTGCCGGAAATACTTCCGGCTGAGATCCTCGCTGAACCGCCCCTTAGCCACCTTGGCGAACAGCTCCCCGCCCTTTACAAACTCCATCACGAAGTATATCTTGGTCTTGGTGGCGAGCACCTCGTGGAGGCGCACGGTATGAGGGTTGTGCAGGCGGCGCATGATAGAGATCTCCCGCAAGATGTTCGCCATCATGGCTGGGCTCGAGATCTTCTTCTTGTTGATCACCTTAATCGCCACGCTCTGCCCGCTCCTGATGTCCCGAGCGTGGTACACCTTCGCGAAGGCGCCGCATCCCAGGAGCTTCCCCACCTCGTACTTCTCGAACAAGGCGTTCTCCTCGGACGGCTGCCAGACGGCGGCGCCCCGTCCGTGTTCGATCTCCGGCATCTTTTCAAGACGATGCCTGAGACCGAACAGAGGAGTTGGAGTTGAAGATGAAATGGATCAAAGAAAACGATCCAAAATGATTTTTTCTTTTTGTTTTTCTGTTTTTCGTTTTCTGGATGTTGCTTTTGGATTACAATCGCGGGGTGTTCATTTGAAATGGAAAATGCGAGTCCTAAACGAATCTTAACCATTCAAATTTCCTCTTTTTCGGTGGCTTTTATACGACGAGAATGTTTCGGATTTGTTGACTGTTTTTAGGCCAGGCTCTTTTTTATTGATTTTAGTTGGCTGGCTTCTTACCCAATAACGTTTTGCCACGTGCTCCCGCTGTGCCCCACCACAAAATTTATCCCGCATAACGCGTTTAAAATTTAGATATTTGAAAAAAAGGTATTTTGAGAAAATACTTTCCATCTATCATTTATTTATTAATTTTTTTCTTTTTTTAAATTTAAGTGATCCCCAACTTTACAGAAGGTAAATAATACAAGAATCTAAAACGCATAATTGGGAAAAATGAAATAATTCTGAAACGCATATAACTAATGCATATTTAGCTGGCTATCTTATCATATAGTGATAGGTATGCACCGAATAGTATATAGTCGTATGTTGCTAATAAGTGGAATAATGATTTGGAATAGTTAGTTGCGTTCAACTTTGATCATTGGCCACAACAAAATGATGACTACCATAGCATATGTGTTTATACTTATGCAATTTAATTTTATGTTCCATCTTATATTAAATTATTTAATTAAATAGGAACAATGATCATAAAAAATGATATTTTTCTCGTGTAGCATTTAATTAGTATAATAATAACTTAATAATGAAATAGTGTTTTTGGGAAATAAGTGTATTTTGTTACTTTATTCGTATTCTATTTGTTATAAATTTGTAAAATAATTTCGTGATTAATGAACAATTTGATTTGTATTGCGAATAATAATTACAAAATAGTTAATTTGTTCATAATTTTTTTTTTTGTATTTTGTTACATGTCACATGTCACACCTTACTTACTTGCATGTGCATCATATATACGTCATACATGCGCTCACACACAATGCATGCCAAGAAAGGTAAACACGCCACACAAATGCGTGTATAAGAACGTAGTCATATATATTATGCACACAAACGTAGTCATATATATTATGCACACAATAATACAACATCTTGGGACATGTATTAGAATTTCAATACACCTAGAATTGATCATTCAATGCAAGGTAGTGGGATATGAGCGTACCAAACGACAACTCACTAATTTCCTACTTATTCAAAATTAGAAGACAAACTATCTAATGTATAAATATCGAGTCTTAGTACTCGATAAACATGTAATCTTTTTATTAAAATGCACTAACAACTCTTACCCGGCCCAACTATATATATTCTTATTATTTGGTTATTTAGTGTAATTAACTAGTACTAATCTCGCATTCAAAAAAAAAACTAGTACTAATCTCTGTCAAGCACCTTGTGCACAGATGATATCCGGGTTGGACTCCCATATGGGAGATTTCGAGCCTTAGTGGAGGCGATATTGGCTCTTTGTACTTCATTAGGCTGAGAAAGTAGCTATGAATAGATACTACAGTGTAATAGAATATCTCTCACATCTTCGTAAGCATAAAGAGTCACTGAGACTTGAATATGATTGCAATCTTGGTGCTATTAGACCACAAGGTCTTGGTATAGACTTGGTATTTTAATTTAACTCTAATTTAAAACTTTGACTAAGAGTTGACCATAGACGGGAATGAAGAATATTTTCAATTCTCCGCTAGATGGGATGAGAATGGGAATGGGATTAGGATCGCGGGAACTGAGACGGGGAGTATACTAACTTCATCCCATTACATCCCTAATCAAAACTCAATAACCTAAGGTGTGTTGTAAATAATATTAAGTGGACATTATTATAGTGTTTATAACACTTGTAACGGTCGGAGGATTATGACCATACTTATGGTTTCCGTTACAATTGTACATTATATATATGTGCTAATACCTTCTTGTATAGAGATAGTTTTGGATGCAAGATTAATAAAACTTCCTTGTCTCTTATCTTGTCTCTACTTTACTTCTACTTTTCTTATTTTGTGCCACTTGCAACTGTATTCACCGGTTAGGAGCTAAATGGCCGACGGGCATAATCTCCCACAACACGTTATCAGCACGCTCAATCCAGGTGAACGGTAACTTTTATGAGTTTTTTATGCCTTATTATTTTCCGGATGCCTCAAAATCATATGTGTTTATGCTTTATGCATTTTTGAATTTATGAAAACTTGATCATATGATTATATTTTTTTTTTTGATAATATACTTCTGCATCCGTAAGTATATACTTACTGTGAATATGTATATCATGAATGAATAAGTTTACTGTGCAAATACATATATTTCGTAGCAATGAACCAAAAATATTGATGTTGATGAATATTTGATGAGGAACCAAAATTTTTTGGCCTATGCTTATATGTGACTTCATATCAAATATGCGTACAATTTTTCTTGCAATATCTAAAATTCTAGTTGCTAGATGTACTAAGTTTGGAATTTTGCATATGATATATATTTTTTTTCCGGAAAAATTGTATTGCTTTCAATATATACACTATTTTTTACATACTGGCATGAAAAATATGATTGATTAATTATTTTTGGTATGATAATTCGTTTAGTACAATGAGAAATTGTTTAGAATGAGTTTTTTTTCATACCTTTCTTCCCCCTCCATCGCCGTCGCGCCTGTCATCTGAGCCACGTCGAAGGTTGTTGTGGTATAGTGGTTATCACGTCAGTCTGTATGGTTTTTAAAGATGATTGTCATCTTGTAGTGATCTTCCTTATATTACCTTTAATATTGAGTTCATATAGCTAGCAATGATGTGCCTTGTGCAACCAAATTGTTTCAATGACTATTCTCACATTGAAAACAAAAAAATTTGACCTTCAATTAAATGCTAAGAAATGTGATTTTGTATCATGGTTTTGGAAAAGGCATTGTTTTGTGGCAATTAGATATTGCATTTGTTTTGATTTGCCATAATAATCTTGATTATGATATGGGAATCATATTTTAGAATTCCTATTGAAATTGCTTATTCAAATTTTATGTGGTAATAATGATGATATTATGATTTTCAGTTACGATACACAAAAAAATGTTTATATAACATTATTACTATTAAGTAATATTTTTTTTCAATTGAGAATTTCATGTATCGTAACCTTATCATCATTATTCTTGGATTTTGATATCCATGTTGGTTGAGAATGAATATTTAGATTTATTCTCATATTCATACTTTTAATTCAAGATTATTATTATGCATATAATCGAATTAAGTGCATAGTATTATTGATTTAAATTATCCAATTTGATTATTTCTAGCATATGATGTAACCACACTTATCAAACCACACTGCCAGTACTTGCTTTGTTTAGTGACAGTGCTATTGTTCCTGGTTAATGTGAATACCACTGCTAATGAATCACTTAGTGTTGGTATTGGCGACTAGGGTCACACCTACTTGCGTGACTAATAATGGTGCACGTCAAGCTGCCAGTTCGGCCATAGCGTCTCGTGACTCTTATGTCACAATTAATACTTTAATAATTTAAATACTTTGGTCTAGCCCCATGTTCCAATTCGTGGCAGTGCATGTGCTTTCAATGAACCTGTTAGTGGTTGGCATGTTGTGTTGCTAGGTGTTGGCCCTAGTGTTAATGCTCTTAATGTTTATAAGATTTTTCTTAAATCTTAATGTAATTTTTGCCTAGAAATGAAGCACTTATTATATGACTGTCACTGAAGGATTGTTTTGATCAACAAGTGATTATAGCCAAAATTCTAAATATAGCATTGCCCAGAAGGCAACAAGTCATAGCACAAATTAAAAATATCAGCACTCGGGTAGTTCCCCCAATGTAAAATTGGCTTTGTATTATTTCACATGAGTCTTGGGCATTAGAATAAATCTTAAATCGGAGTATTTAAACAAAATTATAATGTCTAATTTTTTTTAATATAGTTTTACTCAGAAGGTAAATCAAGAGCACTAATTTTATTAGTCACCGGTTATCTTGCCTCAAGCTCTCGATTATAGATATTTGATCTAAAAGGATTTATAGACCCTAAGTCAATCCCTGAAGGATATTTGGTGTATGCGGGTCTTATTGTCAATGGTCGTATTGTACTCCAGTAGTAGTACATGACAAAATTATGCTAAGTGTTTGGTCATTGGGCTATTTTTTTTAATAAGGTCTGGAAGACCCTGAATGTGGATTGATCTTTAAGGTGACTAATGACTCATGCATGAAGTTTGCAACTTCTATTTCTAATGTTATGCTACTCTCCAAAAGTCAATATTGACTCACATCATGTTGGTTTGCCTGAAGCAAACAAGTTGTGATTTTTTTTACACATAGTAATAACTGCCTAAAAATTCTGACCGGCGCAGTTTGAAAATTAAATTCGTGAAAAATACTTGTTGAACTCCTTTTGGCATGAAATATTTTCTGGAGAACCTAGACTCGTGATATTTGATGTCTGTAAAAATATTTTGTTAAAAATATTCTTTGGTTATTCCAGAAAAATTTGTAAAGTTTTGGCAGTGTGCTGCCAATTATTTTTTCTGCCTGGAGCAATGTTGAGAAAAATTTTGGGAAAAATACTTTTAGACCTTGGATTGGAATGAAAACTTTCGTGTACATTCTAGACTTGATGAACTACATATCTGCAAAATTTTGTGCCAAAATGTGTTACCATTTTTCCCCAGAAAATTCTGAAATCCAGGTCAAAATTCTGAAAATTTTCTGCCGTTTTCAGCTTGTATATCTTGCTATTTTGTGATGTTTTCATGCTGATATGAAACTATGAAATAAAATGAGAGCTTGCTTGGAAAAGTGCTATTTTTGACTCCCCGAAATAGGAATGAATGGGCCTGGCAGCGAACATGTGCTCATTATTTTTCGGCGAACGGTACATCTCTCATTTTTCTAATTTATGAATTAATAAACAATATCTCTTGTCATGTCATGCCTGGTGTGTACCAAACATGATACTCTTTATTTAATGGATGTGCATGACTCAATAGAGAGTTTGGTGTCCAAGACATAACGGACAATTATATCACATGCTATTGCATGCTTCTCTTTAATTGACAACTTTTAGCATATAATCT